TGCGGCCGGTGGGATGTTCCGGAACAATACTTTCAACGTCTGCATGGAGAAGAGCGTTGTGACGGGTCCCGACAACTACATCACCTCCTACGACCGCTTCAACTTCCACCCCAGCTACAACGTCAACAGGCCCTCCATCTGCGATTGAGAGGTCAGGGGTCCCCTGACACCAGCAGCAATGACCTGACACGTTGTCCCCCGTCTCCCGTAATTTGCCCAATCGTGAAGGTGCAGACTTCACTGCCTTCCCTGACAATGTTTGCTCTTTACGTTAGGAAAACATGCGGACGGGGCAGTAACGTCCTACGTGTGCGTTTTACTTCTGAGCTGGGAAGGATGTTAGTGGCTTGACTTTCCATTAAAAAAGTCGCAGCATCCAGAATTCTGGACTCACCTGTAATCAGGGAACAGGACCGTGGGCGTCCTGGGACCCAAGTTTTGGCCTGGCACGAGGAAGGCCTGGGTAACCCCCACCCCCCTCCCCTGCCCCCCGTGTCTTTCTCGGCAGCCGTTTCACACTCCAGACAGATCCCGGAGTGGGTTTCCTGTTCTAAAGCGCCTTGGTGGAAATCAGGAGGGTGGGATGCCCTGCCTGGAGGGAGGACAGGGGCCGTGCGGGGAAGAAGGGCAGGAACACAGCCCCCTGTCCCTGACGCATGCTGGCCGGTGTGGAGTCCCCGGGGACATCCTGCGGCCACCGAGAGGGGCAGGGCCGGGAGGCCAGATGAGTGGAACGGGCCTGGCCAGCGCCTCTCGCGGTTGGAGGGGGTGATGTGTCCGTGGGACTTCTCCCTTTGTGTTCATTTCCAATGTTCAGTAAAACGTTAAGAAAAAACCCAGCAGGCAGGGAATAACGCATTTTCTGGGTGGGGTAGCAATGACAGCGCGTGCACGTTGATTTCTCTGCAATCCTCGACCGATTGAGGTATGAGAGCAGGACGCGTTCATCGTGGGAAATCCGGAAGGCGCTCGCTCTAGACAGAGGCCACGGTTACGTTTCACGGATGCTATCTCCTTTACAAAAAGCGTGGTCCCGTCAGAGTGGGAAGGAATGAAACGCCATGACTGGTTGTTTCTTCGTTAAAACCTTTTTATTATTAACACACAGAAGTAGACATTTTGGCCACAGGCTTAATGTCCCACTTGGAACGGAAATGGTTTCCAGAGAAAGTCGATATTCTTAATAAAAAGATGCGAAGCTGAGCCTGAACCCAGGGTCTGTGCGTTATATTTCTGAGCCGCAAAACCAGTGGGCTCTCCAGGCATCAGGCCAAAAATTACTTTCCACGACCCTTCACTAAAAAAAATACCCAAATCCTGGGGATGCCTCTGTGCTGAGGCTCTGTTGAAATAAACACCAGACAAAGAATGCCTTTTTAACCAAGTTTCTAAACTCCCCGAAAAGAATGAATTCCTCCCTCGGCAGCTATGAAAAGCAGGTTGGGGACTCCGGGGAAGGGCAAAGTTAGCTGGCAAAATAGCCGTTTTTCCTCCTGGTCGGAGCTGGTGAGTGCCAGGCTCGGAGAGGCCGTCCCTGCGGCCGGCTGGGGGTGCCAGGGGAGCTGACATCGCCAGACCTGGGCATCCTAACAGGTGCTGGGTGCTTCGACGCGTCACGGCCGATAAACTGCTCTGTCAGAGATGCTAGTGAGGTAAAGCTACACTCTACGTGCATTGTAAGTAGAATAAACGTCTGGGAAGATGGAAACCAGAAATAACTTTGATAGAACATATATGCCCGTCTTCCCGCAAGAGCAGGAGCGTCTCCAGCTCAGGCTCCCGGCGTCCTCGTCCTGGCGCACCCTGTCTGCTGGCTTGGGTTCTCGGAGGACCTTGACGTCATCACCTGGGGCGAGTCCCAGGCCTGCCCGACGCGGAGCCCGCCTTGGGTGCGTCTGGGGAGGCGTGGCCGCCGGCAGGGGACCCCGCAGCCCTGGCCCCGACGCTGCACATGAGTCTCACGGGGACTCCGGTGCCTATAAACTTCTCTTTTGGCACGCCTTCCACCAGGAATCTTCATGTGCTGAGGGCAGACGCCGAGCGTTCAGATGGACGGTCTCACGGAAGGCCGCGGGGACGCGCGCGGGCCGGGTGCCCGAATCACGGGAAGGACCCCGTCCCTCCCTGGCCGCGATCCTGACGTCTCTCAAAGTCCTCACTCCGCGTCACAACAGTTAGGGAAGAGGCCAGCACGGCATTTCTGTGTTTCCTGACTGTGATGTCAGGAAAGCCTGTCTTGACCCACGAGGAGGCCTGGCCGGGTCGGGCTGTTTCCTTCCACCATGAGACGCGACGCAGAGAACCGGGGCGTCACTAGGCCCCCGCGGCTTGCCTGCCGGGTGGGGTGAAGGGCAGCGGCTTCGCACGCTGAACACGTATTTCCATGTGCGTCAGTAGCTGTCTCTCGGTTGCAGTCGGTGAGAACACAGGGTTCCAAACACACAGGAAATGCGTCCACGCTGGGCGGAACGTCTGTCCAGGGCACAGAATGGCAGAAACCCCAAAGACTCTCCAAATAACAGACTATTTCCCACTCCCGGTCCGCCTTGCCTGGAGCGAACCCGGTGGTGGCTCGCAGAGTGGATGGTGGGTCCCTTAAACAGGCCCTGAAATTAGTTCGGAGGGCGGCAGGGGCGGGGAGCAAGGGGGCAATACTTTTCATCTTTTTATATGAGCAGAGAAGGCGCTAGAACTTAAACTTAGGGCCCGATTTCCCGAGGCGAGTGTGTGTCAGCTCCAGAAACCTGCCGAGAATTCAGATGTTGAGCCATAAAAGGAGGGAGTGAGCCTTGGCTGTAGGAGACCCTCCCTCTCCAGATGGACCTCACGTCTGAACCCCCGGGACCCTCCCTCCCTCCCCTCCCTACCTTTCTTCCCACTGTGCCCATTAGGCTTCTCTCCTTCTTTGCATTAAACGAATGAACCTTTGGCCCCAGGCGCACAGACCCCTCCTTCCCCCGGAAGCGAGGCTTGATTTGGGAACACACGGTCCCCCTGCCCGCAGAGGTGGGTGCACATTCGGCACCCCATGCGGCAGCTCCCCGGACACTGCTACTCACGGCTGTGGCGTCAGGTCCCGCACACTCACCGCACCACGGCCCCCTCCCTAGAGATGGTGCGGGGGGAACCTCTGGCCTGGGCCCCAGCGTGCGCCAGAGTTGACCTAGGGCACGGGGTCCCTGGGAGGGACCAGCCCAAGCAGGCTTGTGCCTGGTGTGTGTGAGAACAAGGCGTGTGTGAACAGCGGTGCCCCACGCAGAATGGGGGTCAGTGTCGCAGAGGCCGCGGGAACCCGGGGGCAGGAAGGAGGCATGCGTGAAGGGTGCTGGGCCTGGAGGAGACAGTGAGCAAGCAGCAGGGGCAGGGGGTACTCAGAGCTAAGTGCACAGGAGGGTCCTCTAGTCACCATCCCGTCCCACAAAGGCCACTCTGGGTAAGATGAGCTGCTGAAGCAGATTTACAAGCAGGGCTGGGCTCATTTGCATTAAAAAAAAACCCAGTTCCTATATACAAAACAAGCTGATTTTCGTTTCCAAGTGTTAAAAGCACTTCTTCAAAATTAAATGTAAAGCATGGATCACACGAACTGTTTCTCCGGGGGGGGGCACCAAAGCAAGTTAAGAGCCGGCCACGGGGCTGGCGGACGGACCCCTGCAGGTGTCGGGCGGGCCGGAGGGCGGGCTGCAGGCTGAGGGCCCACGGGTGCTCCCTGGCCTATGGGTGCAGAAGGGGCCGTTGCTAAACCCCAGGGTGAACACAGCCTGTAGAAAATTCACTTGCACGTCTGAATACTAAACTCAGCTGCAAAGCAAACCTTGTCCAGGTCCGTCAGCTGAATGCAACAGTGAGTCGTAAAACTCAGGGCCGCAGACAATCAACGTCGTGACCGCTGAGCGTCCACCCCACGCGACAGCAGCCCCTCCTGTCTCCCCGGCAGCCTCTGAGCAGAAGGCACGGAAAGCCACACTCTCCCCGCCTCCGCAAGGCGCTGTGGCTTGTGGCGCAGCTCAGACCCACCGCGAGGCCGGGGGCCCTGCCCACCCCCCCTCGCAACAGCGCAGGCAACGGCCCATCGTGCCTCGGGGAGGCGGGCCCTGGGGAAGCCGCCTGGCGCACCTGCTGAGTGCGTGAGTGTGTGTGAGTGTGAGTGAGTGTGTGGGCACGCCTGGCGAGGCCCCGGTCCCTGGAGGGTGCTGGGCCTCATCCTGGGCTCTCCAGACGTCTGGGCACCACAACAAGGAAAGCGGCCCCGGCCTCGTGTGTTCCCGAGTGCCGACGGGGAGGAGGGCACTCTCAAGTGACGTCACCTTCCTAGACCGTGACTGACGACGACGAGGAATAGTGGCTCCCATACGAAAAGGGCTTTATTGGGCTGTTAGAATCACACAGGAATTGAACGGGGCTGGACGTTAAACAACACAGGCTCGGGTGCCGGTCCGTCCGCCCGCTGGCCGTTGTGCTTTGAAATGTTCTCCCGCGGAGGCGGCGACCGCAGCGCTCAGAGGACTCGCCCTGGCCTCGCGGGACCGGCGGCCTTCAGGTCACAAGAGCTGTCCAGTAGCTTCCTGATGGAGGCCTCCGGAGGCGCTTCTGGGATGCTCAGGGCGGGCGTCCATTGCTGCCTTCCCAGGCACGGCCAGACCCTTCCGGCGGCTACACTGGCGGTCAGGGTCACCTGAGCCCTGGCTGTGACGGCCAAGCCAAGTGGCCGCTAATCTAAGCCTCGCACGCAGACCACAGAAAGCGGCAGTTAGGAATGCCCTACAAAACCAAATAACAGCATTTTCCAAAAATACTTTTTACAGCACTTTAAATAATTTACAAAAAGGCTACAAAAACGCTATTTTCCAGGACACATCTGTTAAATAACACCACCGCTCCCGGCGGGCCTACCCGTCTACGGGGCTGCGCAGGGGGCCTTCCCGTTCCGGGCCCAGGCTCGCGAGCAGCGGACGCACACAGACGCGCTTCCCACAAGGACACAGAGCCAGCACGCGTCCTCAGGGCTGGAGGGCTTTGCCCTCGGCCGCCGGGCCGCCGCCCTCCTCCACGGACGTGTCGCTGAGCTCGCTCGAGTCACTGCCCACGGCCTCCCGGGCCTTGTCCTCTCCACCGACGGCCCTCCGCCTGTACCTCAGGTCCAAACCATCGTCCTCAGAGCCCGAGTTCCTCCTGGCGTGCAGGGTGCACGCAGCCTGTGACTTCCGGCTGGGCCAGCGTCCGCCTTCCTTCTTCGTGAGCAGGTGCGAGCCTCCGGACACGGGGCTGCGGCCAGCCGGCGTGTCTCTGAAGGCCGAGAAGGACGGGCCCTGCAGGGGCAGACTCAGGGGTGGGCTAAAGACTCCCGCCTGCTTCCCCCCCCAGGAGACACTCTTCCCGAAGTGGAATAACTGTGTGGACAGCAGTGAGGAGAAGCCCGCGAAGGGCAGGCCTTTCTTGGGGTCCTGGTCCTCCGGCCCCTGGTCTCTCTGGCCCCCAAGGCCCCCTCTCCACACGGCCTCTCTGCCCTCTGGGCTCAGCGCCCACGCGCTCTGCAGCCGACTCTGGTGGGCGAAGTCGGCCCACGGGAGGGCGAGGCCGGTCTGGGGGCCCCCCAGGCCATCTGCTCCCGGCTTGCGAGTCCGCGGGCTCCGGCCCCGTGTGGTCACAGCAAAGGCCGCACCGGGGCTTTCCGTCCGGACGCCAGCTTCGACGTGAGCGGGCGGCGGGCCAAGAGCACGCTCTCTGGCACCCCCGGCCCCTCGCGGGCTCTGATCTCTGTGAGTGCAAACGAGTCTCCGACCGGCAGCCGACCCTCTGGCGGACAGGGCCCCGGCCGTGCCGGTGCGCCTGGCCAGGGCCGCAGGGAGGCAGGCCTGCTCCGCCAGGGGGCCGCTCCTCCCGCCTGGAAGGAAGGCCCTCCCCGTGCCCCCAGGGCCACCCCTGCCCCGCTGGCTCTGTGTGCACACACCGGGCTGAAGGGCCGGGGCGGGAGTGGACACCTTCTGGCACGGCAGCTCGGGCCTGGGCATGCTCCGTGTGCCCGGGGCGGCGGGGCCCCCTCCTAGGGCCTCTGAACCGCTCCCAGACTCCTTGGCCTTTTCCGCCAAAAACCTTCTAATCTCCAGCTCGATGCTGTCATCGCTGTCCACGGAGCTGCTGTCATCGGGCGGGGGCCCGGGGCTGGGGCCTGCACCTTGAAGTTCACAGGCTTCTGCGTCCCCGCAGAACGAGTTCCCTTCGGGCGCTTTTCTCCTTGACTGGAGGACCGGGGGCGCGTCCGCGGCCCCCGTGCTGTCGGCCCGCGTTCTCTCCGTCTCCCTGCAGGAGACGCTCAAAGTTGTCTTCACCTGATTCTCTCTGCTGTCTTTTTTGGGTTTGGAGAGGCAACTCTTCAGCAGAGGGGGGCTCCTGTCTTTCCAGTCCTGGCAGCCCCCGAGTTTATCCACGCACTGGGTCTCGGTGGTGCTGAACCGGACCTTCCTCTTGCACGCGGCCCTGGGGTCCTTCCACCTCCTCCTGAGCCTGCGCCTGGACCGAAGCAGGTCCTTGATGGCGGTGTCCAGGTCCTCGTCGCTGTCCAGTGAGCTGCTCTTGTCCTCCGAGCTCCCCTTCCCCCCGGTGCTCCTCCCCGCAGCCGCCTTCCCGTGGCCGGGCCACACACCGCCCCTCGGGTCCGGGCCACTGTGCTGCTCGCCCAGCTCCAGCGGCCTGCAGGAGAGGGGCTGGCCCCTGGTCTCGCCCTCCGTCCTGGGGGCCCGGCCGGGCTGCACGTTCCCGGGGCCGTGGTCTGCGGCCTGGGCCCCCTCCTGCACCATCTCTCTGGTTTTCTTGGGTGTGGACGGCCGCACAGCGTTGCTGCCTCCCCTGCGTTTCCTGCTGCAGCTCAGCGACGGGCCCGGCGTCTTGGAGACAGGGACCCCGGGGCCAGGCGACGGCGGTGGGCTCTGTGTGGACTGTGGGCGGCTCTCCGTTGTGGCCAGCCAACCCCCCGACTGAGCCTTCAGAGCCAGGAACGTCCGGATCTCTTGCTCGATGCTGTCACTGCTGTCCACGGAGCTGCTGTCCCCGTCGGAGCGGGCAGGCAGGGCTAGGGGGTAGGAGAGAGGGCTGGCAGGCGGGGGGCTCTCGCTGCCCCCCACGGGGGCTGGCAGGATCGTTTTGGAAATGTCCAGGATCGCTTCCGCGCACATCAGCTCGGCGGATGTTTCTGCCCCGCACGGCGGCCGTTTGGCAAGCTCGTCTTCGGCAGCTCTGGGTTCCCTGGGGGGCCTGGAGGGGGGGTCAGGGGCAGGGCCACCTGGGCGGAGGTCCACGGCCTTCGGGGCCACCGGCTTCTTCCTGCTTGGTGTTTTCCTGTGGGTTTCGGGCAAGGCACTTTTTGTGGAGTGGCTTGTGCCGCGTGGGGGAGGGTCGGGCCCCCTCCCCTCCGCGAAGGGTGCTCTCTGCGGCGGGTCTCCGCTCGCCTCCTTCCTTTTCTCCAGCTGGTACAGCTGGATGGCCTCCTCGATGCCATCGTCACTGCTGGAGCCGGACGCCTCGGGCACCGGGGCCGTGCTCTTGGGTCGCTTCGCCCTCCTTCCGGGGCCCGTGCTCCTCCTGATGGTACCTTTATTCTGGGCCGCTTCTGCAGGCTCCACATCCGCCTTAGACCTGAGGCCTCGGGGCCGCGTGCTCACCCTCGACAGCCTGGGGGGTTTCCGGAAGACAAACTCCCTGCAGGCTCCGGTCACACCCGGTGCATGGTGTGCCCTGACCGCCAGCTCTTTGCTGGACCTAAACGCCGGTCTGGCCGGATTATCGCCGGGGTCTGGTTTCGTGTCCACGGAAACGTCACCTCTTGGGGTCTCGTGTTGTCTCTTCTCGTTCAGAAACTGCTCTATCTCTGCCTGGATGCTCTGCTCGAAGGAGTCATCGCTGCTAACGCTCGCCGGGGAGGCGGAGCCCTGGTCCCGGCCGGCTCGCACGCGGCTGCCAGGGGCGCCCCCTGAGCTGGGTGCCAGCTTCGGGGGACACGGGGCCGTCGGGGCGCTACTCCGGGGAACCTCTGGTCTGCACCGCCTCCCCCCATCCGCGGCCCCGGACGGCTGGGCAGCCCCGCCCTTGGCCTTCAGGTACTCCTGGATGGCTTCTTCGATGTCCCGGTCCACGGAATCGTCGCTGTCCGAATCCAGCACCAGGGGGCCAAAGGCTGCAGCTTCCTCCTCCCTGGAGGGGGCAAAATCGGCAGCAAGCCCACAGGCGGCAAACGCAGGGTTGGCGGCCAGCCTGGCGTCCCGGCCTCTCTCTGCCCTCTGGCTTCTCTGCAGGGCAAGCTCATTGCTCATGCCCAGAGCGGCCTCGTGGCTCTGCAGCGTGCTAATGACCATCTGCACTCGGGCACTCACCGAAGCCCTCGCGACGCCCTCGTGCGGCTCTGCGAAGCCCCCGGGAAACCTAAAGCCCCCGGGCGTGCCAAAGGCCTCCCATTTCGACTGGAGAGCAACCACAGGAGGGGCGTTCATGAGAAACATTCTAGCAGGCGGGGAGGGACGTGCGGAAAGGCGACTCTTTATTTCTCTGCCCGTTTCACATCCTGGGAGGAAAGAGGGGGGTCACCGCAACTCTGCTGGCGCACGCGGCCACGGAGAAACGGCACGCCAGGCTGGAGTCCAGAGAGGCGGCTCAGAATCCGGTGCCGGGTGAGCCGGGGGCGCGGGGGGGAGGTCACTCATGCTTCCCGGGCCTCGGTCCGCACAGCTGCAGGGGGAGGCGAGGAAGGACCCGCCCCCGAGCCATGGGCACCGGGCTCACACCAAGGCCCCCCGCAAGCGTCTCTTCCCCGTCCCGCGTTCCTGCTTCGGCCTTCCGTCTTCTCTGCGCGGGAAGCGAGGTGTTATTTGCCGCAAAAGGCTGTCAACAGGTGCCGACGGGATCAGGTGTGCGTATGCGTCTCCGCAGGTTAAAAAGAATGACTGTGTGAGTGTAAGCTCAGGGTGACTTCGCGGATAGTTTCCTTCTCGATGTGGAAAACAAGCCCCTGAAATAAAAAGTTATGTGCCGTGAGCAATGAAAAAACGAATTCCCCAGACAGTCTTTAGAGAGCCACAGAGCCTACAACCTTTTTGTTTAAAAACTGCCAGGCAGCCTCATGGGCTGAAATCATTCTCTGCTAATCGGCAGAGAAGCAGTCCCACACGCTGTCACGCGCCCTTTCTCATCCTGCGTGGTTACTCCGGTTCCCGCATCTCGGACCGAGGGTGGCTGTGTCAGCGGAACCGCTGGGCTGGTCCTGGGAACGGTTCTGAGGACCTGTCTGCAAAGCGCCCTTCCGCTAAAGGTCAGGGACCGCTGCAGAGGGGGATGTGACGGGCACCGTAGAGAGTCGCTTAGAAAATACAAGACACGTCACCTTACTGGTCATTCCTAACCTGTTTTTCTGATCCCTGATTTCTGACCCCCCCCCCCAAATTAGAATGCAAAACATCTGTGATGCAAGACAGCTTTGCAGCATTTACAGCAGCAGGGAAACTGAGTTCCGCCCCAGGATAGTGCTGGGCACGGCTGTCACCCCCTTTGAACCCCAGTGGACAGACCGGAACCGGCCTGTGTATCTGCTTTGCTTTTAACATGGACCCTTCTCTACCAGGAGCCTCCGTCCCGACGAGCACATCATCTTGTATTTACACACCACAGTCCTTTCCAAGAAAAGCGTGGCCGGCAACCTAGGCACAGACTTGCCCAAACAGGTGCAACTTAACCAGAGGGCACAAGAGCTTCGGAAGCAAGCCGTTCACGATCACGGATTCGTGTGTCCCCAGAGTGAAGCTATAACGTAAAAGCATTTATTGCAATCACTTGAAATTCTCAAGGCCAGGTTCGGTGGGATAACACAGGAGCCGATGTTTGTAAAGCATTTCAGGGATTAGGTCTTCCCCCCCTCCCCCCCTTCCCGTTCCTTTACCGACTTTTAAAATAGACTTTTGACTGCCACAGGGTAAAGAAAATCAGAAACGTCTAATTCAGATGCCGAAACTTCAGCTAGTACAGATTTTTTTTTTTTTTTTTTTTTTTTTTTTTTTTTTTTTTTTTTTTTTTTTTTAGAAAGAGCATTAATTTAAGGGCTTGAAATTGAATTTTGGAAAAACTTAACCCTGAGACCAAAGACAGTTAATCACAGCTAATTCGCAACTGTCCTGGGCTACAGATCTGGTACCAGAGGAAGTATGTGAACCTATCTGCCAGTTCTCAGACCCTGGCATCCCACGGCGGCCCCAAATCTCTCTCGTAACATCACCCTCCCGGAAGGCTCCCGGGGTCACAGACCAGTGGGGACGACAGGGTGGGGAGAGGGCTCTTTCACTGGCTAGGGGGGCCTGTGCCCACCTTGCAGTGGGGGTTATTCCAGCTGCCTCAGCAAAATGACGAGAGATCATGAGATGTTCGCGTCAGCCTCGGGCCGTGAAGAGTCTATATCAAGAATGTTAACTACTTAAATTTTTAAAAGCGGGCGCAGCGACGCACCCAAAGGCACTGGGCTGCAGTGATTTCCATACCACGTAGCATAGCCGGGGGAAGGACAGACACTGGTCTCCCCGTGTTCACCGCGTTCCCGTGGTTGCATGGCTGTAGAGAGCTCAGACTCCCAGTGAGGAGGTTTCTGAACTGTCAAATCACCTAGTGCGAGAATGAGGGAAAAAACTCACAGGGAATCTCCAGCGACAGCTTGCGTATTTAAAACAATCAACTACATAAGATGAATCATTCAGAAAAACTCCCCGAAACTATACTTGGAGAGAACTGTGAGCCGAAGCTTTGTCAAATAGCCACCCTGTACCCCGAGAGCCCCAAACCAGGCCTGGAGGGTGGCCAGTGGGGCCACCCAGCCCTGCACCCCAAAGCCACGCGGTGCCAAAGCTGGAAGCGCGTTTGGGGGGGGGGGCACCCGGGCATCTCAGTGTGGATGCCAGACCCCAGTGGGGGCGCGGAGAACAGAACCTGGCTTATCCCCTGAACAGTCTGGCTCCCTGCACCAAATGCCCCCAAGCACATTTCTCGGCTCACCGAAAGGTGGTTCAGCTCCTGTCCTTTGCGCTCAGGTGGCCAGCTTCCCCTCGTGGGGGAGGAAGGTGAGGGTCAGGGTACCAGGCCCAGAAGGAGGG